ACTCCAGCACTGGGAGCACTGGGATCCGGGGTGCCCATCCCACCCACACTCCAGCACTGGGAGCATTGGGAGCCAGAGCATCCATCCCACCCACACTCCAGCACTGGGAGCACTGGGATCCAGGGTGCCCATCCCACCCACAGTCCAGCACTGGGAGCGCTGGGATCCGGGGTGCCCATCCCACCCACAGTCCAGCACTGGGAGCATTGGGAGCCAGGGCATCCATCCCACCCACACTCCAGCACTGGGAGCACTGGGATCTGGGGTGCCCATCCCACCCACACTCCAGCACTGGGAGCACTGGGAGCCAGGGCATCCATCCCAGCCATGCTCCAACACTGGGAGCACTGGGATCTGGGGCATCCATCCCACCCACACTCCAGCACTGGGAGCACTGGGATCCGGGGCATCCATCCCAGCCATGCTCCAACACCAATGCACAGCAGCCCAGGCTGCCACAGTGCAGCCTGTGGGACCCCCCAACTCCAGGTGCAGCACCCCAAGGTGTGGCAGGGAGGCATGAGGGCCCCCAGAAGCCCCAGTGTGGCCCACCTGGCCAGGTGGACCCCGGCCTGAACAGGGGTACCCAGGTTTGGGGTATTGTACCCAGGGGAGCCAGGTTTGGGGTAATGGGTGATACAGAGCAGGATGTGGCTGACAGGGAAGGGGTCCCAGGACGCAGGCACTGCCGAGGGGATGCCAGCACTGCCGAGGGCACTGCCGAGGGGATGCCAGCACTGCCGAGGGCACTGCCGAGGGGATGCTGGCAGTGCACTGCCGAGGGGATGCCAGCACTGCCGAGGGCACTGTCCCCACACCGAGGGGCTGCTGCCCTGGGTGAGCCCACGGGGGCTGGGGGCTGCTGCCTGTAAGCAGCTTAGGGCCCCCCTCTCCGGCCCCCGGTGCTGCCTAATCTGCCGGGATGGGGATCGGGGTCCATTAGAGCAGGGCTTAGAGGGGCAACATCTGCCGGCAGGCAGCCTACGCCCAGATGGCTGGGGGCTCCAGGACCCCCCGGCTGCAGCCCCAGCACGGCATGGAGCCCCGGCAGAGCGGGGGGCACCGAGCCCCAGTCTCACTGTCCTGCACAATCTGCTTCGGTGCAGCGACCGAGGAGCGGCCCTGCTGCCCCTTCCCGGGAGCGGGGGTCCCGGTGCTCCCGCGGCCCCCCCGCGCAGCAGCGGCGGCAGCGGCGGCGTTAATCCGCTTCCCTCCTCGGCGAGGGGGGCCGCGGGCCCGGGCCAGCTGCCAGGCGGGGGCAGGGGGAGGTGCAGCCCCCCGAGCCCCCCTTGCCGTGCCACATCCCGGGGGAACGAGGGCGGACAGTGCCAGCGCACGGCTGCGCCCTGGGGTGCAGCGCTGGGGGCGTGCGGGGCGCTGCCGCCCCGGGGGCTGTCACCCCCCGGGCCCGTCTGGGGGGCAGAAGGTCCCGGTGGCCGCAGTGCCCCCACTCCCGGGTACAGCACCGCGGTGACTCAGCACCGGCGATGTCGCGCGGCCGTAGCCGATCGAACCCCACCGGCAGCCGATCCGATCCGTTCCCTGCCGCCGCCGGGA